AAAATGCTATAATAATAAAAAATGACCGGTGCATCGACAGATTTTAAAATTTTCTATTGCAGTGAGACTGGTGCATAGCCATTAATGAATTTAAAAATGGCTTGGTATGTATTGGAGGGTAGATTTGAAAGAATACCAATTATCTCTGAAATAATAGGGTTGTAAAATAATGTCCGTCAAAAGGGCTTAATCTGATCTATTAGAAGCCCAAGTTAGGGAAATCTGATTGGGCTGGGTTCCAATCCATCATGTTCAACTTATGTAAAAGTTAGCCCTTTATTTGCTCCCAATGTCTAAAAATTCATTTTTTTTTAAAAAAAAAAATCAAAACAGATTTTTAATCATACATTTTATGGCTTCATGATTTTTATTATCGCACGTTTCATTAAATTTTATTAAAATTTGCTAAAAATTTAATTTGTTCCAATCGAACAGGGATTAAATCATTCATCCATGGAAAGACATGGTGAACAAGATAGTTTGTTTCTATATTCCATTTTAAAGTTTTTATTAATAGATTGTTTGAACCTTATTTTTATTGAAGAATCCATTTTGGAATAGTAAATTGATAGAGAATGTGTGATTAAAAATAAGAAAAAATTTTGGATTTTCGTGTAATATTATTTTATTGAAAAATGTGTTATTGAAAAGAAGAGAAATAAAAATATATTTTGAAAAATAACGGAAATCAAACAAATGCTAAATAAAAAGTGAAATTTACAAAAATACCCTTAAAATTAGGAGTCTTTTGAAAAATATTTTAAAAGTATAAAATATTGTGTAAAATTAATTGTCACTTTTTTATATTAAAAAGTAGCAATTGATTTTACATAGTATTAAAAAGTGATACAGTGTCACTTTTTGTAATTAATAATATCACTTTTATTAAAAAGTAATGTTCTTCGCTAAAATAAGTGACAAAAATTTCAAGAAAGTCACAGGAAAAATGTAAAAATACTATGAAAATTAAGTAACATAATATCACTTTTTTATTATAAAAAAGTGACTATGTGTAACCTTTCTAAGCTAAATGTC